GTATTTCTAGTCCCAGTAGGGTCACCAGTGTGGACAGGTTTTAGTGGAGCTTCCAGAATAGGACAGACCAGGGATAAGGAACTTACAGACCACTTCTGAAAAATTAGCCACTGAAAACCTTATGGATACCAGCAGAACACTGGCTGATATAGTACTGGAAGATGAGCTCCTCCATTTTGAAGGCACTCAAAATATGACTGAGGAAGAGTTTCTTCCTCAAAGTAGAGTCAACCTTAATTTTCTGATGAGGCACAACTCAAAATGAGGAGAAACAGTTGTAAACATCCATTAATAAATGCAATGGAGAATTCATGAAAATTGATATCCTCGGCATTAGTGAACTAAAATGGACTGGTATCGGTCCTTTTGAATCAGACAATTATATGATATACTATAACAGGAATGGCATATTGAAGATGGATGATGTCACATTCAATGTCAAAAAGGTCATCTGAGGATCTATACTGAAGCACAGTGCTATCTGTGATAGGATAATAATATCTTTACTCCTACAAGGAAGACTTGAATTCAAATATATGCACCAAAAGCTAAAGACGATGATGAAGAAATTTAAGAATCCTACCAACTTCTGCAGTCTGAAATTAATCAAATGTACAATCAAGATACATTGATTATTGCTGGTGATAGGAACTCAATAGTTGGAAACAAGAGGAAGGCTGATTGGTTGGAAAACATGACCATGATAATAGAAAGTATGTCTAAGGTCACATGATGGAATTTCATAAAACCAATGACTTACTTGTTACAAATACCTTTTTACAACAATGTAAATGGCAACTATACATGTAGACCTCACCAGATGTAATACACAGGAATCAAATAGACTGTATCTGTAGGAATAGACAATGGAGAAGTTCAATATCATCAGCCAAAATGAGATCAGGGGCCAACTGTAGAACAGACCATCAGTTACTCATATGCAAATTCAGGATGAAGTTGAAGAAAATTAAAACAAGTTCATGAGACTCAAAATATGTCTGAGTATATCCCATTTGTATTTAGAGTCCACCTCAAGAACAGATCGGATGCATTAGACACTAATAACTAAATGACAGAAGAACTGTGGGATGACATCAGGAACATCATAAATGAAGAAATCAAAAGATCAAAATGCATGTCAGAAGAGACTCTGAACATTACTCTTGAACATAGAGAAGTTAAAGTGACTGTAAGAAATGATGGAGTAAAAGAGCTGAGCAGAAAACTTCAAAGGCTTTTCAAAAAGACAAAGTAAAGTATTATAATGAAATGTGTAAAGATCTGGAGTTATAAAATCAAATGGGAAGAACATGCTCAGTGTTTCTCAAACTGAAAAAACTAAATAAAAATTTCAAGTCTTGAGATGCAATACTAAGGGATTTTATGCATAAAATATTAAATGGTACAGGAAGCATCAACAGAATATGGGAAGAGTACACAGTGTCACAGTACCAAAAATAATTGGTTGACATTCAACCATTTGAAGAGGTAACATTTGATCAAGAGCCTATGGCATTAAAGGAAGAAGTCCAAACTGCACAGAAGACATTGGCAAAAAGCACAGCTTCGGGAATTGAAATGTTTCAACAAATTGATAAAATTCCAGAAACATTCACTCGTCTATGTTAGGAAATTTGGGAGACAACTAAACTACCTGGCCAACTGAGAGACATAGATCCATATTTGTGCCCATTCCAAAGAAAGATGATCCAAAAGAATGTGGAAATTTTTGAACAACATCATTAATATCACATGCAAATAAAGTTTTGCTGAAGATTTAAAAAAAAAAAAAAAGATTGTAGCTGCTAGAAAGTCAAGTCAGGTTCAGAAGAAAAAATTTAACTAAAAAGAGAAATAGGGACAAGAAAATAGATTTGTTCAGGATAAAAGTAAGAGAGTAAAGAAAAGAAATCACTAAAATAAAATAACAAAGAGAGGGAAGAAGATGAAAAGAGAAAAAGACTAGAGAATCTTAAAGAAAAATCAAGAAAAAAAATGAAGAGGGTGGAAATGAGAAAAAGAAAAATAAAGAAAAATCAGAACTAGAAAGTATAAAATTAAGGGAAGGGAAAGAAGAAGGAGAAGAAAGAATAAACAAAAACAAGGAAACAACTAAAGGAAAAATAAATAACAGCAACAACAACAAAAAAAATCAGTGTAGTTGTTGGACTCAGGCAAAAACTCTGGGGAAGGGGGAGAAGGATTCCTGTAGGCCAAGGAACTCATATGGAGGATGGAGTTCCTGTAGGCGTAGGTATTGTCTGTGCTCAGAGTAATTCATTCGGAAGTAGTAGAGGCCCTTCAGGTTGCTGACTTCAGTGTCTGTCAGAATCAGAGGGCAGTTGGGAGCAGGGCAACTGATTAGTAAATTCTTTCTACCCCTTGCTATCCTGGAGTTCTGAACCATGTGGGCAAGTGCCCTCTGTACAGGCTTTGCTTCAGATCTCCAGAACCCCTAGAGCCTCCAGGCTATAATTAGACTAGAAAGAATTTACTTAGGTGAAACCCATATTGAAGATTGCAGTCTTTGATCTTTATCAATAAGTTTTTAAAATCCTCTTGTCTTTAAAATAAGCAAGCAATGTTGTATCATCTGCATATTGCATGTTGTTAAATGAGTCTTCCTGCAATCCTGATGCCATGTTCTTCATGTAATACAGATTCTCGGATTATTTGCTCAGCATACAGTTGAATAAATATGATGAAAGAATATAACGCTGATGCACACCTTTACTGCTTTTAAACATCCAGTTTCTCCTCGTTCTGTTTGAACGACTGCCTCTTGGTTTATGTACAGGTTCCTCATAAGAACAATTAAGTGTACCAGAATACTCATTTTCTGAAATGTCCTAAGCCTTTACATAGTCAATAAATCAGAGATAAACATCATTCTTCACCACTCGTGTGTTAGTTTGTCACATTGTTATGGCTTTCGTGTTGCTGTGATTCTGGAAGCTATGCCACTGGTATTTTAAATACCAGTAGGGTCACTCACTGTAGACAGGTTTCAGATAAGCTTCTAGACACCTTCAGTACCATTGGCTCTTGATCATATGCTACTTCCTGAAATGATTAAACATCTACCATTTCTTTTTGGCACAGTGACTGTGTATTCTTTCCCTCTTCTTTGATGTTTTCTGCATCATTTAATATGTTGCCCAAAGAATCCTTCAGTATTTCCAGTTGAGGCTTGAATTTTTCCTCAGTTTTATCAGCTTGAGAAATGTTGAGTGTGCTCTTCCCTTTTGGTTTTCTAATTCCTGGTCTTTGCACATTTCTTTATAATACTTGACTTTGTGTTCTCAAGCTGCCCTTTGAAATTTTCTGTTCAGGTCTGTCTTTTACCTCCTCATTTCTTCCATTTGCTTTAGCATCTCTGCGCTGGTGAGAAAGTTTCAGAGTTTCTTCTGACATCCATTTTGGTCTATTCTTTCTTGCTGCTCAAAATAGAATGTTGTTGTTATGTGCCGTGGAATTGGTTCCGACTCATAACGACCCTGTACAGGGTTTCCGAGGCTGTAAATCTTTATGGGAGCAGAAAGCCTCTTCTCTCTCCTGCGGAACAGCTGGTAGTTTCGAACTGCTGACCTTGCAGTTCACAGCCTGATTCGTAACCACTACGCTACCAGCGCTTAACCAGGATATATCTTTTTACTTTTTCTCTATACTTCTTATTGTTTGATTTCTGTCGTGTTTATCTAAGGCTGCCATAACTGAACTACCATAACTGGTCAGTTTTAAAGTACAGAAATTTATTTTCTTACAGTTCAGGAGGCTAGAAATTCAAATCAGGATTTCAGTTGTTTCAATTCCCTCTGTCTCTCTCCTAGTGCCTGGTGTCTCTGGCAATCCTTGACATACGCTTGCTTTGACATTACATCTGTCTTCCCTCTTTGTATGCGTGTGTGTCTATTCTGCGCTTTTTACAACTTAGGTGTGATTGGATGTAGAACTCACTCTGATAATGGCCACATTAACATAACAAAAGAAAACTATTTCCCAATAGGATCACATCCATAGGTACATGGAGAGGATTTCAATATATGTTTTTTTTGAGATCGCAATAAAGTCTAAAACAGGGTATTTTATTTGTATCACTTATATAAACAAGACAGAAAAAAAAAATGAAGAAAATGTCCTTGTAGAGAATTTTTTTTCTCCCTACCTTTGATGTTTTTTGGGAGATAACAAGTTCTCCTTTTCTCAGTGCATGTAAAAATAAGAATAGTAAGTGTTTAGGCATTGTTTTGAATGTTTAGATGAACCAGGTCACTTTGTCCAATATTTATTCTTTAATTTGTAAAATTTCTGCTTCTGAAATTTCAGCAATTGCTCAAGACTGGATGGCCAGTCATCAACTGTTTCCCTCCCTGATTTGGGTTATTTCCCCTTGTGTCTACCTCAGGCTGGTCTTAGCTATCTATTAATGTAACTCCCACCCACTTTTCTATTTCTGGCTATAGCTGTCACTAAGGTAGAAACTTCTTGACCTCTCTTTCTCATCTCTGCTTTGACCTTGGAGATTAAGGGAGGTCATTGTCACATCATCACTGGTTAGCCAATCAGGTGCACACTTGCCTTCAAAGACCTCCCTGTCCCATAGACATTCATAGGCAGAGTCAATGGAAGGAGGGAGCCAAGGAGGAGGCCTGGTGTAAGTCCAAATATGATCATTACAACATGGATTGTGTACATTCTTGCCCGCAAAGGTGTAGGGTTCCCCTTCCCACCAAAAACCAGTTCGGTAAGTGGAGTTGGTGGTAGCTATGAGGAAATGTTTCTAATATATCTTCTACCCTCTGCGCTCCTGCTGCATTTCCAGGGAGATTTTGTAATAGACAACTCTGGATTAAAATGCGGAGAGGGGGAACTGAGCTCCTAGGTATTATGAGGTCATCGCCTTCTCAATTTGTTCCAGGACATTGAAGTTGTGGAAAGTGAGGCTGTGTCTGTGGTACAGCACTGGTTGAAAAAAGTGAGTAAGATTCTCTATGACTCAGTGTAGCCAAAGTTCTAGACCTGACCAGTGGGTACGAGGGTCTGGACTCACCAGATACTAAGCTTTGCTAAGCTACTTGCCCAGAGGTGTACCTAATTCACCCAAATATCCTAAAGGACACAGGCTGGTGTCCTTGTAAGATATCTGCTAGTGGTTCTATTCACTCACTCAGCCCTGTGTCTCAAGCATATTGACTTGAGTGGATTCCTAAGCAATACTACCAGTTCAAAGGTGGCTCAGGAATACCTTGGGGAGTGAACCAGAGACTCAGTGAGTTCTCTGGAACTTCACAGGACAGTAGCAGTAGATCAGATTATACAGGAACTGAGGAATTTGGGGAGTGTTTGTGTGGGTGTGTGGGTTTGTATACTGTAACGGAAAATAAGAAAGGCAAAAAGGAAGAAGAGATAGCACAGCTAGGATAGGATGCAGAATGACAGTGGTTCAGAAGAAAGGGCTCATTTTTCAGACTGAAGAAGAGGCTTCCCAGGACATAAAGGAGAAGATGTCCAGCAACAACTCTCCTACCCGTGGCCAAGATATACATGTGACCAGAGATGTGGTAACAGACCAAAGTCTTTGAGAGTTTGAGGCTAGCTGTCTTGGGGTGGTGGGACAAGGGAGGGGTAAAAGATGGGAAGGATTACTAAAAGTATGTGTGGTTTGAGTGGAGTGGGGCTGGGAAGAGGGAGAGACTTCTGGGATTGGCTTCACCCCAGTCCCAGGCTCTGTGCTGAACAGAAATCATACGGATTCTGACTGGATTTCCTAGGTAAAGCACCATCTCTCAAAGTCTGATTTATTAACAAACCAGAGTCAAGAGGTCCTGGAGGAAAGAACTAGAATCCAGTTCATAAGATGGAGGTAAAATGCCCCATTTTCCCTGAGTAGAGGGTGGGAAGGGAGCTTCTGAGAAGGCAGGGGCCCTCCTTTTAGGATTCCAGCACAACCAAACTCATACATTCTTCTCTAGACATGCCCTGTTTATCTTGGAAATACTTTACCTTGCTTTGGGGTGTTGAGGATTATTTTTGCTGTCTTGGAAACCTAGCTGATTTCTAAATTTTTATATGACTCGAGGGACTGGAAAACTGGGCTCACTCACCATTTCTTAAATGTTTCTGAACACATTTTGTAGTGATTGTTAAGTGCCATAGAGTTGGTTCCGACTCATAGCAACCCTGTATAGGGTTTCCTAGGAGAACCACCAACCTGGAGGTTTAAACTGAAGCTTGAGGCCTAGTACATAGCCTATGGAGTCATACCAGAACACATTCTAGACTTCTTTAATTTTTGCACCTGAACTGTTGGAAGCAGCTGAATTTTAAACAACTTAAAGTAAATAAGCTCTTAAAATGCAAAAGCCAAAGCCCTTCTTTGCAACTGAAGTACAAGAGGTTTCTTAGTGCCTGAGGCAAAAAATTCTATGCTCCACATTAAGGCAGATATGTCTAAACTCACACAGAACCCCCAACCCATGAACTGCACCCCCACAGCCCTTCCGGTGACTCGGGCCACCACCAGCACCACCAAACACATGTTATTGTTAAGAGCTGGGCCAGAAGGGTGGGCCTTTTCCCTTGAATTTATTTGTTGTTGTTAAGTGCATCCAGTCAATTTTGACTCACAGCGACCCTGTGTAAGGTTTCTGAGGAGTAGCTGGTGGGTTTGAAACACCAACCTTGTGGTTAGCAGCTACAGCACCACCTTCTCTTTCGACCACATCCCTTCCCAGTAGAGGAAGCGTGGGATGAAACTCTCCTAGTGTAGATGGGTGGTTTAAATCCACCAGTAGATCCTTGGAAACCCGACACAGAATTGCTGTGAATGGGAGCCAACACCATGACACTTAACAATAACAAGCAACAGACAGAGTAGTGAAAGTGCTATCTCTTCACATCTGCACTGCCTTCTGTTTTTCTAAGCTCCATACATATTACTTTGAGAAATACATTTTTTATTTCCACATATAGGGTTTTCATATATTTAACCTACCTGGACTTTTGGAGTGTCGCTGTAAGATCAGCACTTGGCTGCAAACCACAAGGTCAGCAGTTTAAATCCAAGAGCTGCTTCTCTGAAACCCTATACAGGGTCACTGTTAGTCTGAATAAACACAATGGCACTTAACATCAACTACAAGTGGCATCAGCATTTAAAAAGAGGATTTAAATACAGAGTAATTACATAATAAAAGGAATAATTGTGGTTCAATTTGAGGCCCCTCTGGGAAAGGAGTTTTGGATGGGAAACCTTTAAGGTTTCTCAAACCAAAGATGTTGGTCCTTCATCCATCCAGTCATGGCCCTGTATGCGGAGTCTTGCCAGGTGGTACTGTGGAACTCTAAATGTTGCATTGGTTTTCTTTGGATAATCTAGACCGAACTCACAATATTTTCTTAAGCCTTAGTTGTACATCATAACTAAGTTTAAGCATTTGAGACATGCTTCAGGAACCACAGGAGTCCTGGTGTGGTACTGCAGGATAATGTACTGGACCACAGGTCAGTTTGAATTTCAAGGTCGGCAGTTCAAATCCACCAGCTGCTCCTCAGAAACCCTATAAAGGATCACTATGAGTCGGAGCCAACTCAAAGACACTTAACAACAGCAACAACATAGGAACCACAAGAAGTGTAATGGCTTCATGTGATAAGCACTGGTCTGCAAACCACAAGGTCTACAGTTTGAGCCCACCAGCAGCGCCATGGGAGAAAGATGAGGTTTTCTGTTTCCACAAAGATTTAAAGCCTGGGAAATCCTTATCCAGCATGATTATGAGTGGAATAGACTCAGTAGCACTTAACAGGAACTACAACCAATTATCTACATATCTTTTCACTCTGGATTTTCCAGGGAGATTTTATCTAAACAAACTGCAGGTTTCTCCACAATCTATTACTCTGGTGTCCTCTTCTAATACCAAGTATTCGGGGAATACGTGTCAGCATCATTTGATGCTCATTTGCTTCATAGCCATGTACTGATCACCTGATTATGCAATGCTCTTCAGAAGAAAGAAAATAATAAGACACAGCCTCCAATTTCAAGGGGATAAAGCTAGCTAGGTGAAAAGGTGTGTGATAGGTAAAGAACACACTGAATGAAGTAGCCATGAGGAATGTAGAAGCCATGCAGAAGTTCCACCTGTGGGCACCCTGATTACATAAATTCTAGGCAAGGTATTGTAGTGGTCACGAATCGGGCTGTGAACCTTAAGGTCAGCAGTTCGAAACTACCAGTTGCTCCATGGGAGAAAGATGAGGCTTGCTGCTCCCGTAAAGATTTACAGCTTCGGAAACACTGGGCAGGGTCGCTGTGAGTCGGAACCGACTCGATGGCACTTAACAACAACAACAAGCAAGAACCACCCAGGACACAGAAAACTTTCAGGCAGAACACTTGTTTCCATGCCACAAAAATTGGATAATCTGGATCCTTCCAGATGGTAGGACCAACTTGGCACCCTTGGAGTTACCTCCCCCTGGCCAAACCCACCTCCTCGGGGCCCAGTGCTCAGGTTCTCTCTTCTCTGATCCTTTCATCATCCCAAAGGGCTGGGTGCCATCTCTCTGTCCTATGAAGTCCCTTCTTTGATTATCTTTCTCTTTAGGCACCCACCCTGCCACTCTACCCTATGCTGCAGTCACTTTGTATGAATAATATTCATGAGCATGTCTCTTCCCCCTACACCCTTTGCTTACCTACATCATTGGAGGCAGTATCAGTGTTATCTATGGCCACCTTAGAAAGCCCTAGAGCATCTAGAGTTAGGTACTGCATAGAGGAAATGCTTGCAATAGCAAAAGAAGTGGGGTATTCAGTGGACAGACCACATTCTCTAGGGGATGAGTGGGATATGGGGTTGAAAAGACTAAGAAGAGAATTATAAAGAGCAAGGAAAATCAGCATGAAAAACTAATCAATCAGCCTAAACCACACCTTCTGTCTACTTCCCAATCCTCATATACAAAGAGATTCAATATGTGTGTTGGCTTGGTGTATCATCTCTGCAGTCCATCAGTGAATATGTCATTGCAATGCTTATAAAGAACTAATGAAGTAGAGAGGAATTCAGAAGGTGTGACTTTCATATCTTACAAGACAGCTGACCTGCTGTATAAGTCTAGTAAAGGCACTTAACTCACTTCTCTGTTTCCTTGACCCTCCTAGAACCATTTTTAAGTGCTAAGGAAGACTGGGTTGCTGTAGGTACTTGATTGGTAAAAACAAAACCGGTGTGATCATTATACAAGATGGGTGAGGGGCCAGCTCAGAAGCTCATGGTGCTGTGACAAGATCTAGCATACGTATAACCCAAATCTAGCAGCTTCAACAATGTCCAGTAAAAATGACGAAATGAAACTCAGGAATCCAAATGTCTTTTGCAGTCATACCCGTATCTTCCAAGTTCCAAGTGAGGTGAGAGAGGATGCTATGCGGGATCGGATAGAACAGGTGAGACGAAGGTAAGCATTCTGGATACAAGGGTTCATAGTTTTCACTGGGGTGGTTGGGGTGGGAGTAGCTCATGGGCTTTCTGCCCAACCTCAACTGTGTTCATTTGCATATTCAAAAGCAGGGAAAAGCAGTCACCAGAGTGGTTATCCTTTCTTATGTTAGTTTCACTGTGAACCCCTTTCCCTAGCTTAGCAGGAGTCCTTTCAGTCAGACTGCAAGACTCTGCTCCCAGGCCCTGGTGGGGCAGAATCCCAGTGTGTCTGACCACACAACACCTCAAGCCCTGGCCAGCATGCCCTGTGCAGGCTCTGACCCATAGTCCTTCTCCTTTGCACCTCCTCTTTTTCTCTGCAGCATATCACACCTGACAGTTGGTTCAGCTTATGACCCACATATTGCATCTTCCTATTCAGATTGCTAAGAGTGACAGGTGAGAGATCTGTCAGGTGAGTGACTGAGCAGAGTAGAGGGTTTATCTGGGCAGTTAAAAGGGACACATGACTGAGCTTTGGGGCCAACGAAGAGGGGTGGCAGCTGCCTTATACTCCTGGAAAGTTCTCTCAAATCTCTGGAAGGACTTGACATTGAGTTTCAGACAGACTCTTCCAATTGTGGTGTTATATCTCAATGCCATGTATCTGGGGATCATGGGAGAATTGCTAGAAATGCTTGTGTTGACTAAGTAGGTCTCTGGTAGGGCCTGCAATTTTACACTTCAAATGGATCCCAGGGGATGCATTGCTGTTCTCTGGATTACACTTTGAATAGAAGAATCAAAGAACATTTGGAGTCAGGAGAGGCAATTTGGTTTTGGGGAGATCACTTGACCTCCACTTTTGCACTTGGTACTGAGTGGTCAGCACCATGAATTTAAGGTCAGTGAGAGTGACAGATGATAAGACTCACTTATCAGGAAACGGGTCTCTTTTTATGTGGAAAGACGGTACTAGCTGGTGTGGGGGGCTAAGTGTGTGCTGATCTTAAGATGCAGCTGGTTCTTATGATGCTAAAATAGGGCCATGGAAAGGTCATGCTGGCCATTGGTCAGATGGTTCTTTTATGCCATGTTCTGAATCATTTACCCAAGAATTCTCATTTGATAATAGCTGACAGATGATATTTGTCAGCTGAGGGATATTTAACTTGCCAGGGGTTACTACAATAGGAAGAAACAGAGCCCCATGACTCAGTCCCAGATCTGTCTAGCAGGCAACTAACTTTACCTTTCATGGGCTTTTCTGGTCTCCAGATCCAGCTCTGAGAATGTAGATAGTGGAAGACCTAGGGGGAGACATGTCTTACATAGCCCCATTTCTGTACATGTTCCTATTACATTGGAATTTCTCTGTTCCTAGGTTGGTGTTCTTCAGGGTCAAGGAAGTGACTCTTGTCAGTACGTCCATCTCCCCTTGATCTGAAGAGGGACCAGAAAAGTGACACCTGGGCAGAGGGGACTCAGTGGTAGACCTTTTACTGTGACAGTGGTCACCCTGGGATCTCCTCCCTAATCTGCTAATAAAGAGACATGCTATTTAAGAGCCCTTTCAGAGTCCTGAGCCTTTAATTGAATAATTGTGAGGCACTGCAGGATCTGTGGGCCTGGCTCTGCGTTATACCTACTATACATGTTCATCAACACTACAGTGCGAGATGAAACAGGACTTGGAGGGCACTCTAAAAACATAATAAGGGTTTCTAACCTGCACTGAATGTGAACTGGGAAGGTAGGGTTTCCTAGAGGAAGTGTGGTTTGTTTGTTACATTAAAGAATTTATTGAGCAGCTGCTATAATAAAGGATAATATTTATGAGCACTCACTATGTGCTAAACACTATCTAAGGGTTCTGGGGTCCCATGGTAAAATTCTTGCCTTCCATGCAGTAGGCCTGAGTTTTGATTTCTAGCTAATGTATTTCAAGTGTAGCTACTACCCATATGTCAGTGGAGGCTTGTGTGTTATTCTGATGTTGAACAGGTTTCAGTAGAACTTGCAGACTAAGATGGACTAGAAAGAAAGGTCTAGTGATTATTTCCAAAAATCAGCCAACAAAATCTCTATGAATCACAACAATCCAATTTCACTCTGTACAGAGACATCATGAGTCAGTATTGGAGTCAACAACAACAAAGTACTAGCTAAATAATTTACAAGTATTCAAGCACTTATCCCAAGCTGTCCTCTGAGATAGATAATACTCATATTATTACGACTACTATTATGTAGTGGTTACGAATCGGGCTGCAAACCTGAAGGTTGGCAGTTCGAAACTACCAGTGGTTCTGCGAGAGAAAGATGAGGCATTCTGCTCCTGTAAAGATTTACAGCCTCAGAAACCCTATGCAGGGTCACTATGAGTCGGAACTGACTCCACGGTGCTTAACAACATTATTACTCTATTTTAGAAAGGAAGCAATATAAGAGCTGTTGTTGTTATGTTGTTAAGTGCCATCGAGTCGGGTCTGACCCATAGCGACCCTGTACAGGGTTTCCGAGGGTGTAAATCTTTACGGGAGTAGAAAGCCTCATCTTTCTCCCACGGAGCGGCTGGTAGTTTCGAACCGCTGACCTTAAGGTTCGCAGCCCGATTCGTAACCACTACGCTACCAGAGCTCCTTTATATAAGAGCAAGGGGGTTAAATTCATTGTCTAAAGTCACATGACTAAGCATAGTTGATAGTTCTGGCCTTATGACCCCCAAATTTAGTTTCTCCCTCAGTCTGCTACATGATGTGTTTGGTCCTTGACTTGGCCTGGAAATACAGGAGTTGAAGACTCAATGTTTCATTTTGACAGAGGAGATCAGTATTAAACAAACTAATTATTGGTCACAATTTTCATAATTACTATCAGGGAGAAGTATGATGGGAACTTGGTTTGATCAGAGAAGAAAACGCTAAGGAGATTGTTATCTTAAAAATCATAATTGGGAGTTCATAAAGGTTAAGTAGTTCTCCTGGTGTCATGTAGCCACTACATGGCAGAGCTAAGATTTGAATCCTTGCAGTCTCATGTTCGAACAATGTCCTTAATCATACATTGTACCACTGCGCTAGGTTGAAGGATCACCTTAGTTGCTGATAGTGGTAGCAATGGGCTAAGGCCAGTCAGATATCACAGAAGGAAGGAAGAGAGGTACAGCAAAATTGTGTCTGCCCTCTCCTACTATTCCCAAAGGCTAGGAACACCTGTACCTTTATTGCCTGCCCCCACCCCCCCATCCCAGCCCCAAGCATTTTTCTGGCTGCCTGCACCATTGGGGAAAGCTGAGAGAGGAGAAACAGGCAAGTAAGAGTTAACCAGACACAATGGACTCTGAGATAGAGGACCGAGGTATGATGGAATAAATGCAAAGAGATCATTACAGCTGGAAAGATGAGCAAGGGGAAGATGGATCAGGAAGATGTTAACAGGGAAGCAGGGACCTAGCCAGCTAGGGTGAACACCTTACCAAAGACTCAGGTCTTTCCCTGTGTGGGGATGATGAAAGAAGAAATGGATGATACAGAATTCTCATGGTGTGACGCTGTACTTCTGATGGCCGGCAGTTCACACTCACCAGCTGCTCCTTGGAAACCTTATACAGGGTTGCTATGGGTCGGAACCGACTCGATGGTACTTAACAACAGTAACAACAACTCACATGTGGAAACATTATGTAGGAGAATGACTCATCATTTGGGATGGTGTAGAGGATGGATGCAGGGTCAAAATGGAAAACTTTTGTGCATCAAAGGCCTTCTTAAAGTGAAGAGGCAACCTAGAGAACAGGAGAAAATATAGTCTCTGTAGGATAAACACTGTACTGTGAACCACAAAGTGACAGTCCCAGTCCACCAGCTGCTCCATGGAAGAAAGATGAGGTTCTTGGTTCCTACAAAGATCTACAACTCTGGAAACCCTATACAGGGTCTCTATGAGTCACATCTAATTCGATGGCAGTCAACACAACAACGTAACAGGTTTAATATTCAGAACATATGGAAAGTCCTATCTAATAAATAAGTGGACAAAGGACTTGAAAAGGCATTTCTCCAAAGAAAATCTACAAATGCCCAAGATACACATTTGAAAAATGTTCAGTGAGTCATTGTTAATAAGTGTCGTCGAGTTGGTTCCAACTCATGGCAAGCCTGTATAGGGTTTCCGCGGAACAGCTGGTGAGCTTGAACCCCCAACCTGTGGTTCAAACTGACTTTGCAGCCCAGCACGTTAACCCGGTATGGCACTGTGGGTTAATGCGTCAGACTGCAAAGCCATTTGAACTGCAAGGTAGGCGGTTCAAGCTCACCAGGTGCTCCTCAGAAACCCTATACAGGGTCGCTATGGGTCGGAACTGACTCGATGGTCTTAACAATAACAACCACACCAGAACTCTAATGAGTGAGTCATTAGAGAAATATAAATCAACACCACAATTAAATACCACTCCACATCTATTGTGTTGGAAGAAGTGCAGCCAGAGTGCTCCTTGGAGGCCAGGATGGCCAAACTTCATTTCTTATACTTCAGACATATTGCCAGGAGGGACCAATCACTGGAGAAGGATACCATGTTTGGTAAGGTAGAGGGTCAGAGAAAAAGAGCAAGACCCCCAGTGAGATGGATTGGCAAAACGGCAACATCAATGGGCTCAAGCGTGGCAACAATTGTGAGGTTGGCCCAGGAGAGGGCAGTGTTTCATTCTGTTACGCATAGGGTCACTATAAGTTGGTACTGACTTGTTGGCACCTAACAACAACAACCACATCTACTACAGTGCCAATCATCTGAAAAATGAAAAACAAAACAAGTCTTGGTGAGGATATGGAAAAATTGGAAATCTTGTTCATTGCTGGTGGGAGTGTACAGACTATGGAGAACAGTTTAATGATTCCTCAAAAAGTTAAACATAGTTACTATACCATCCAAAAATTCCACTCTTAGATATGTACCAAGAGTCTTGAAAGCAAGAATGCAAACATATATATATCAATGATTATAACATTATTGACAATAGTCAAAAGGCAGAAAC